AATGTGGACCAATTGGACAATACACAGTCAAAAGTATAAAAGATTGTAAAAATCTTTGCAGTCACCAATCAAATTGTGATATGATTAATTATACCCCTGATTATAGAGAACAGCAATGCAATATAATTAATTCTATGTCAGACAGTTGTGATTACAATTCTGCAAGTAATCGTCAGTCTCTTATCATTCATTCCTGTACTAATGGACCAATCTTTGATGATATAAAAAGTACACAAAATGACAAGTTGAAGAAGATAATGGATGACAAAAATGCCCCAACTTGCATCAATGTATATGCTAATGAAACTTTTAATTTAAGAATTCCTTGGCCAACTGTTGATTCCAAAATGAAAAATTTCAAAATACTAATAAAAGGGGAAAATTTACAAAATTGTGTTGATGTCAAGCAAGGTTTATCAAACTCTGGAATAATAGCTTACATCCCAAAAGATTTACAAATTGAACCAGGATTTCTTGGGCAGTACTATAGCTGTGAATTGATTGATGTAGAAGATAGTCAATCTTGCACATATTCTTGTAATTGTGGAAAAGATTATTGTCAAGCTGTTTATATTAAAGGCTTTGGAAGAACTGAAGACAATATGTCAATATGCTATTATCAAATAACAAATATAATGTAAAAATTATATAAATTGGTGGTAAATCACTAATTTTCCAACCTCAGCCACATATTACCCACAATAAATAAATCCCTTCTTATATTCTTAAAACAAAATGTATATCTATTCAGTTATTTATAGTATGATAATATGTTTATTTTTTTTCATTAATATAGATCAATTGTGTATCACGTGACTATAGTCATGATAAATAATGTCCATTTTATATTAACAAAGACAGTCAGCTATTGGGTTTTTTTTTGATGCACAATAGGAATTTTCTAGCTGTATTGTATATGGCTTGTTTTTGTCTTTCTCTAGTATTCTCTTTACAAATTCAACAAAGACAGAAAAAGATGAATTTTTTATGAGACCTTGGTAAATATTTCAGAACTTGGTTATAATTTCAACTTTTTGTCTACTTGCACTAGAATTTAATCGGATTATTATTCTTAAATGATTAGTTATTTGCAGATGATAAAGTGTAACTAGGGATTTGAAGCTGAAATATTGATGACTTTCATTTTTAAAATGACTAATACTTTCAAAAATTTATGACAGGTATAGATTTGGAATTATCAATTTACAGAAACCAATTCGTAAAAGGGTTAGGGTTAGGTCTTGGGGTTAGGGTTTTAACGCCCTAGAGTAGCACTCTCACTTTCTCCCTGAGTGATACCCTTGGAAGGTTGCGTTCCACATTGAAGAATAACTATTCTGAATGACGGCAGGTTAATCTCTTAAGAAATGTAAATCTTTGAATTCATTCTGACTTGCAAATTTAAAAATTCTAGTTGAATAAACCCTTCCCTGTCCCAAAATACACGTGCCATCAGTTTTGTCTGCAGACTTACCTGTCTTAACCTTTTTTGGTGGTGGAGAAAACTTTGTATGATACTTTAAAGAAGCTCTTTTAGTCAATGGTTCATGATAGAATGCCCATGTTCCCAAAAAAAGCTTTCAGTTGCCTATAAATATCAATTGCAATAACTTGTTGCGATGCAAGAAATTGAATAATTACTCTCTGCTTTATACTGTGGCACCACTGAAGTCTCAATAACCAGATTAAAACTCACAATATTTCGGAGGAATTCCTCCTTTATCAAGTGAGAGGGGAAAAGTGGCTGGTTAGATTGCCACCAGACTGATCTCTGACAGGCTTACTATACCTTAGGATAGGTACTGGTTTAATCCCACACTTTTTTCGCTACATTTCAACTCATCTGCGATAATAAATGCATACCTAATCATTTGGTTTGCAATTTTCAATTAAATTGTGAAAGTGAAGCTGATGAAGAATTTGCAGCTTGTTTTAATATATACAAGTATTTGAATGAAATGGGATGTCCAATTGCTGAAAAAAGAGTGTTATTTAAAACAATACCTTGTAAACTAGGGTATTATTCAATGGGTCATATTTCGAGTACAGTTCATTATCCATTCTCCAATTTAAATGATTGTACAGTCAAGAAATGCCAAACTTGAGAATATCTGTGTAAAAAACAGAATTATTGTATATCAATTGAATTAGTTTGTTATGGAATTGTTCATTGTACTCATTCAGATGATGAACGAAATTGTGGTACATTTTCTAGTTAATTTGTCCACTTGTCCGAAAATAAGTGCTTTTACCCTAACCTTAACCCAGCCCTTGGCTGTACCTAACCTTTTCCAATAAACTGCACCCATTGTTAATTTCATAAACAGTATATGTTTATTAAACTTGTGAAAATGAAATCTATGTTATATTGATATAATGTATATAGTCAAATATATAAACATACATTTATCTGAAAAATTAAAAAAAATAAAAATAAAATGAAAAGAAAAAGAGAATATGAAATGTAGGTAAAATCTATGGAGCATATACATCAGATGCCAATCAATTGGATCTATACCAATCATTCTAAAGGCCCTCCTAGTAGCTCTTGCTGTGTGGCAGCCTGCATTGTCTTGTTGGAAGACATAATTCCTGCCCATGTTGAGTGATATCCCTTCAATGACAGGAAGAATGTGTCCCACAGTAAAACAGCTATAATTTTGGGTAGTCAATTTTTGACTTATCCTCCAAACTTCAAACTTTGTGTGGTAAGATTATGGATTGAGAATGGATTAGGATAATTATTAAAACAGCTAATTTTTTAGAAAGGTGACTTAGAACTAAGAGCTATGAAATGGTAGCGGGTGAAACCGTACCTGGGTGAAACCGTACCCATAAAAATATTACATTTTTTTAATGTTATTATTTAGAATTATAATAATGGAAGCTACAAAAATAGAAACACTGTTGAAATATAAACTGACAGCCATTTTAAAAATGAAGAAACTGAAGTTAACTTTCACTTTGGAAAGAATTTAATTTGAAACTCAAGCCTTTTTTGATAATTATATTTGGGCAAAGATTATCATTTTAGATGTAACAGAGGTAATTTCATGTGCATTGTAATCTAGATTAATGTTTTATTCATATTTTCAATACATGTTTTTTAATTTTGTGAAAAAATCCAATTTATTTGAAAAATATTTTTCAGCCATTTTGAATAATTGTAAGTATACCTTTCCAATACTCATTTCAAATCAAAATATTATTCTTGTTTTCTAGATGTGTTCAATAATATTATTTTTTATTTATTCACTAATTACATTTAATATTTTCAGTCTGGCATAGAGAATTATTCATAAAACATGACAGTCAAATGTAAGAATTGTAAGCTTTTTGTATATGAAAGACAGAAGAAAATGTCTTGTGTGCTCTGCAATGAAATTATTCATCAAAAATGTGTCATAAGTATGATTCTATATTCAATATGGCATTTATAAATATTCAGCTATTTCAATCAGATTCTAAGGTGTCAGTTTGTCTGGATTGTGAAAAAAACAGATTCCTTCTTCAGATGAAGAGACCAGAAGATCAAATTGTAGAAACTGGTGATGTTGATGGAAAATTACAAAATTCAACTAATCTTCAAAATGAAGATGGAGAAAGTCACCAAGTTTCAAATGAGCCAGAGTTTTGTGATGGTGGCAATTTTGATAACTGTCAGATGAATGGAAATGAAATGGATGAAAATTTAAATGAAGATGTGGTTGTAGATGCAAATGAAGGTGTGATGGATGCAAATGTGAATGACAATGGAATATTGAACAATGGAAACATTGAACACTTGCAGGAACTTATCCATGACAACTTTCAAATAGTTAAAGGTGGAAGTCAAATGGGAAAAGATATTCTGATAAATGATGGATTTTCATTCACTGTAAAAGCTAAAACTTCAAAAAGTATCATTTGGGTGTGCAGTAAGAGGACCAAAAAACAAAGATGCCCTGCAAGAATTCGCCAGCAAGGAAAAACATTCATCAAGGGAAGTTTAGAACATATTCATGGTAAAAATAACCACCTAACCAGTGACATCAGAATCAGAAAAGATTTGAAAGATATTTGTAAAACTGACACAAGTTCCAGTGGGAAAAGATTATTTTTATGACATCAAAGAAAAGAAAGAGTTATAAAAAAGCATTTAAGGTATCATTTTGAGAAATTCATTCTTTAACTACTTTCAGATGAATGTTTCATTCTTCAGAGTGTCAGAAACCTGACTGGCATGTCACAGCCTGAGAAGATAACAATTGATTTTGAGATGGGTCTGTGGAGAGCTGTATCCAAAATATACCCAGAATCACAAATTCATGGATGTGTATTCCATTTTACACAAGCAATATATATATATTCCTATGAAACAATGGTTCAGGGTTGAGTTAAGATTATGATAAAACCACATAACCACATTCCTAAATATTTAAAGAGGCCTATAAAAATTTGAAATCCAAAAAAAATAGTTTACCACCAACTTTTATCCATAAGAAACAAGTCTACATTCTTTCAAATTTTTATATTTGAAATTGTCCTTTAACATACTTCTTAGCAAACAATCCCAATCAGCTTCTAATGTTTGAACTACTGTGGTAATTATAAGGTTCTGTTTTGTTCTGTTTTCTGAGCTTTTCCATTTTCGAAATCATTGAGAATTGTAATGTTTTTCTATTTCTGTTTTCAGGGATTAATAAAATGTTAAAAAATTTTCTCTTTCATACCAAAAAGTAAGTTAAAGCTAATACGAAGACTAAGGTGAATGACAATGTTTACTTTCTCTTTCCATTTTATCAAAAACATTAGAGATTTTCAGTCAAATATGTATTTTCATAAAATAGATCATTTTTCTTTTTTCCTATAGATTTTACTCTTTTAAATAAATAATTTGATTTTTTTTTGTATTTTTATTTTTAAAAATCAATTAAAACTTTTTGATCTAATGGATTCTAAGAGAATGTTTTGTCTACATTACTTAAAAACATGACATTCAAATATTTACATACACAAACATAATCTTGGCAGTCTAGTAAGAAAACTAGATTATGTTTAGCTCAAAAATGAGTCTGAAAATCCTTAAAAAATTATAATAAAAAACTGTAAAAACATGTTTTTTTAATAAGTTTCTCTAGTATTTTTATTTGATGTCCTTGTTACATATATTATAATTCCGCTAAGAGCACCAATCAATATTCCAATAATAATTGAAACAATGGCAAGGGATTTTGCAGAAGAAGCTCTTGCTTTTGCTTCCTGATAATTTCCTTCTTCTTTTGCTCTTCTGCTTGCCATGCTTAGACTTAATGCCACTAATCCAGTAAGCAAACAGAAAAATAGAGAAATTATACTCCAAATCTGTAACAACAAAGAGAAGAGAAAGATTTTTTTAAAAAGATATCATTACAAAATAAAAATTTGGAAATATTTGTTTTTTCTTACCAAATTATCGGGAACATAAGGTTGTTGAACTACAACTGCTCTTTGTGGTTGATAGAAAACAACTGCGTCATTAACGTTGGGAACAGAAGCAGTATATGGTGGAGGAGAAATCCATTCGACTCTATTCTCACTTTGATCAGAGAAAACAATTTCTTCATTAATTTTCGACTGTTCACATTGCAATTTGCCTTTTGATGGAAACTTTTGTGATAAATCCATTTGATCAGTATTGATATTATTCATATTAATCCAAAATTAAGATTTTATAGTTGAAAAAAATAAAGATTTTGAACTGGATTGGAATGAAGAGATAAAATTAGCACTAATTTTTAAAGTTAAAGAATTTATATATATATACAGTATATCTAAATCATTACTGAAAAATTTCCCCCTTTCTAATATATTCTAATTTATTCAAATGACATTTGGAGGAAATGAATCATCTTATAGAATATCAAAATAGAAATTCCCTCTTTCAAGTACACTTGTTTGATATTTTTTTTTTATTATAGAAAGTTCAGAACGTATAACAATAAAGCAGGAATGTTTCATAAGGTTTCTACGCTTCTGGGAAATATCCAAAAGTCCCTAACCCTATATGTCTGATTGACTAAATTCTGACCTAGTTTTCATCAATGTCATTTTTTTTATAAGGTCACCAATTAAAAAATATGGACAATGTCAATTATGATAGGTAGATATAGGCAGGATAAAAAAGGTGTATAAAGAAACTGAAAAGAAACACGGAAACGATGACAGGACGAAAGATTCTAAAGGAATTAGATGTAGGAGTAACAATTCGGAATCGGCTGAAAAGAAAGAAAGAAAACAATACCGTGTCTTCAAATAATCAGTGACAATCTGGTGTAATTTTTACTAACAAGTACTGACGACTACAGTTGGGAGAAAAGTTTTGTTCTCATCGAAAAACCAAAATCAACGGAAAGAATGCTGGTCAAAACTCAATACTATTTAATATGAATGCTTAACAATAGCAATGTTGTTTTTTTTTGTTTGCTGCGCAAAGGAGAATAAGACCAATGTAATGTTAATGTGGTTTACATTGCACCATGATTGTTGAACCCAAATAATTCCTAAAGATAAATGTGACAATTTGTCAATTGTAAAGTGATGATTGGATATTAGAGGCAAACCTTAAAGTATTCAAACACTCACTGATCTTTCTCAATCTAATTATTGTGGGAAGACCACCTGGAAAACAATCTCAGATGAGATTAGCCTTCTACACTCTATTGTTGGATTCTATTTGTTTGCTAATTTGGCAACCTGCTATTATGAACTATCTACTTCGATATTAAACTTAAATTAATTAAACATTATTAACAACACAACTGGTTGGATTTTCTACTGTTAATTTTTACTTTCTCTTTCTATTTGATCAAATGCTAGACAAGGGAGAAAGGTGAAGGATTTAATTATCTAAAATCAAATGGGAAGTTGACTGATTAAGTTATATATCTGGTTATTAGAAATAACAACAAATCATTAAATGCTTTTTTCCTCCCAAGTATTTCTCAACCCAAACTGCTGCCTTTAAATGTCCTACTTGGGTCTGTTTTCTGTTTATTCCCACTGGAGTGTAAAATTTCTACTTTTACTACATGACACAATGAACACTCAAGCAGGGTATAAAAGGGAATGAATGCAACAGAACGGTGTCAGAGAAACAAAGGATTACAAAATAAAATTGAAACGAAATTATCAAGTAATATAAGTGTAATATCAATTAGAAATATGTGTCATTGCATGTTCTAATCCTTTTTCAGTAGTTTTAGTTTTCAGAGAGTCCAACAGGTGGCGTTGTAGATGTTTGTATAAAAAATTTTCTATTGTTTTGCTAATCAAACCAAATTTGTTAAAATAAGTATAAAAGTAAAAGAAAATACTAGTTGATCCAAATTTCCAGTATTACCACATCAATTTTTCACAAATGCTGTAGACGTGTCAGAGCCATTGTAAATTGCTGCAAAATCATCTGTACAGTTTCAAAATTTCCCCAAATCTGTTGAAATTACTTTTACAAAGAAATATTGTTTCTCAGAATGTTGGATAACTTTTTATTTATTCTCATAAATCTATTTCAGTAAAGACCAAGGGATATTCAAGTCAATTAATAACCTTTGCGCCACATAATTCTCTTAACTATATACATTTTCTTTTTTCCCTATATGGATATTTTTGTCCAGGATTGTATTTTATACAATAGGACGCAAAGTAATCTCTACACAATGCAATGGTTTTCTAATCAACTTTGCTTTGTCCAGTGTGTATTTTGAAGGTAAATTCTATGACAAAAAGGTGATTGACACAACTTGAAGTTATATATGGACCTTTGGTCCAGGTATAGGACTAGGTTTGTCAGGTTGTAGGTTTAGCTTGCATTTATCTTTGTACCGTTTGGTCCTCTTATGTGCACAAAATACTAACATTAAGAATGGATTCAGTTCTAAATAACACCAGTGTATTAATGAAAGTCCAGAGTTTTGCCAATACTGAGTACATCAATTCCAATCTTGTTTTTTCGCCAATTGCATTGTAACTCCAGTTATCATTGTCAAATATTTAAATTTTTACTGTTGTGTACTGGTTGGCACTGATAGAGAGAGATATGGTTGATTTTTACTGGCCATTTTCTAATGTGATAACTGTATAATGGGTCTATCTATGTAATAAATATCTCTCTAAAAATATGCCATTATTTAAGCTTTTAAATATTAGTATATCACTATTTGTAAATAATTTATACAAAATATTCTCTTAGAATCTAAAAATACAATTTTTATTTGATTTTTCAAAGTACAAATACAAAAAAAAATCAAATTATTTATATAAATGAGTATAATCTATCTCTAGCTGTAATATTTTTTGCTTTTGTTTTTCTCTAGTTATCTTCTTTTCCAAATAAACTTCTATTTACCTAGAACAAAAAAGATTTGAATATACAAATATTGTATTGTTTATTATATTAGAAAAAAGAGAAATGATATCTTACTTGTAAATACATATTTGACTAAGAATATAATTACAATTGAAGCTATAATAAGTCCTCCAAGAATACCACTTAATATTTTTCTATGTATCTTTTTTAGTTTGCATGTCTCTTTATTCTGTTGATTAGAATGAGGAAGATGTACAACTTCAGCTGGAGCAGCATCCTGATTAGCAGCAGGCATAGGAACAGTATAAGCAGTAGGAGGGGGAGCACAATTCATAGAATTGCATGCTTCACTATATGAAGGTGGTGGTCCTCTATCATTCATAACAGAATATATTTGTATTTTTTCCAAAATAGTATTCTTTTGACTATATAATACTGTATATCTATTGTTCAAATAGAGCTTTGAAAAACAATATCAGCATTTAGTTATTTTTTATCTATATAATAAAAATATCAAACATGGAAACTCTGAATAATAAATGCGCATTATAAATATCTTCAATAAAAATTTTTTACTGTCATTTCCATTAGTTACATCACAAAAATATAATATAAAGTTATTACAAAGATATAGTAGGCCTAAATTTAGTAATGTTTTTTCAACTCAAATTTTGCAGAGCAAAAAATAGGAAATTTGAAAACATATTTAAATAAACAAGTTTATCCAATAGTTCATCTAAACTCAATTATCTTTCTTCAAATACAGTACGGGTAACCTATTTTTGAACGCCCAGCTTTTTTCTATATTAGTTAAAATATTTTTTCTTTAACATTAATTTTACAATCCAACAATTAGACATGGCAATTGTGACTTTGTAATCAACATATTCAATTAATTAAATCTTTGTATTTTACTGTTTAAATAACAAAAAATTTTTATTATGAAAAAATCGTGAAAAGTACCCGATATCCTATTTTTGAACAATAATTAAAAATTTACGAAAATGACCAAAATTTTTTGCTTTCCCACATGACAATTTATGTCAAGAATGAAAGTAGAATAACAATTTTAAAAAAGTTAAAAATGCCAAAAATAAGCTTGGACATGAGAAAATTAGTGTTGGAAAAGAGGAAGGAGAAGATGTCAATGAACGAAATTGCAAAACAATTAAAAATTTCAAAGGGATCTGTCCACTACATAACAAAAAAATTTGAGAAACATGGAACTATTAACAATCTATCGAAACTATGTACCCCAAAGATTTTAACAGAAAGGGAAGAGAGAAAAATTTGCCAAATTTCAAAGAGAAATCCATTTCTAATGGCAAGGAATGTGCTTGAACATTCAGGATTAGGTTCCAAAATTTCTCTATCGACATGCAAAAAGATTTTGCAAAAAAAAACGACCTTAAAGGCTATGTTGCAACAAGTAAGCCAGCGCTAAAACCTTGCCATGCAAGAAATAGAAAATCTTTTTGTTTGTCTATGTTAAATAAGAGTCAAGAAGATGTAAACAAAATTATACTTTCCGATGAAAGTCGGATTGAATTGTATCCAAAAAGGAGAATTTGGGTCCATAGGGGGAGTCATAAACGGTATGATCCAAAATACACCAAAAAAGCTGTTCGAACAGCAAATTCATCAATATCAATATGGGGGTGTATAAAAGCTGATGGGACAAGAGCTATAAAGTTATATAATGGGTATATGGACAGCAATTTATACCAAGAAATACTTGAGGAGAAGCTATTTCCAATGTTTGAGCCAGACAATGTGCTTATGCAGGATGGTGCCAAATGTCATAAATCGGCATCTACAAGGACATTTCTTGAGAGAAACAATATAACAGTTTTACAAGACTGGCCATCCAGAAGCCCAGAATTGAACATTATTGAAAATTTGTGGGCTTACTTAAAAAATAGGTTGCAAACCCATGTTTTGCAGACAAAAGATGATTTGTGGAGGGCAGTAGAAGAGGAATTTAATAACATACCAAATTGGTATATTGCAAATTTATACAAAAGCTTCCATAAAAGAGCCAGATTATGTCGGAAAAATAAAGGATATAATATAAGATATTAAAGAAAAAGAAAAAGTGATTATTTGAAGTAATATAATCTATACGTTAATAAAATGTAAAAATAAACATATTTCTTACCTTTTCTAACAACATTTTTATCAGAATTCATAAAGTTCAAAAATAGGATATCGGCCACTTTTTGTGACATTTTCAGAATAAAATTTTTTTTGTTATTTAAACAGTGAAATTTAAAAATTTAACTAGTTGAATCTGTTGTGTACAAAGAGATAATTGCCATGTCTAATTATTCGATTGTAAAATTAATGTTATAGAAAAAATATTTTAACTATTATAGAAAATAGCTGGGCGTTCAAAAATAGGTTACCCGTACTGTATATTCCAAAACTGAACAAATAAAAAATTTATCATTTTCTGTCTTTGTTGAATTTGTAAAGAGAATACTACAGACAGATAAATTTTTCTTTCCTTTTTTAAGTCAGATACCCACCTTCTTATAGAACATTCACTCAATAATTTCATCCCCAAAATAGCTCTTTAACCATATATAAATTTTCTTTGGAGAGATCTTCTCATGCACCAAAAATGTAATGATATTTCAATGAATGGAACATGTGGACATGACTTGTGTTTGCTTACACCAAAATAAATTTGTAATGGCTAGACAGAATCAATTGAAAGTTTATTGAAGGGAAAAGTAATATATTTTTTGTTACTTAATTCAAAGTTGGTAGGGAATCCATCTTTTTCAATCCAAGACTTTCAATCAAACCTTCAACAACTGAATGGCTTGTATTTCTAATAAAATTATCTAACCCACTTTCTTACTGAATCTTCACTAATTGTTGTACTAGCAAAAACAGCTTTCAATTGCTTATGAATATTGATTGCAATAACTTGTTGTGATACAAGAAATTGAATAATTACTCTCTGCTTTATACTGTCATCCATACCATGACACAACTAAAGTCCCAATAACTTTTGAACCAGGGCTTACATTGGTATAAGTGAATTCATGCTAAAGATTAGTATTTTGTGGAGAAACTTGAGGATCTATTTGAACCAGCACTTTGGCAAATTGGTAAATGATTGATACAGGATAAATACAAAATTTATTAGCCAAGTAGATTTTTACATTTGTAAAAATGAGAAATGAATCATTGAACTCTTTCTTTTCTTTTCATAAAATACATTGTGTTCTAATGGAAAACAACTGGCTTTCTGATTAATCTTTTGAGTATTAAAAAAAATATCAAAAAAGAGCAACAATATATCAATTTACAAGATTAATTCTCAATGATTTTTCTTCTTTACTTGTTTATATATTCCATGCACTATCCCTTCTCTGGCAGACAATTTGTCAACATGATGTTTAAACTAACAATGATATTTTCTATTGTCATTTTGGAAATTTTCTTTTCAAATAGAATATTTACATCTGGAGAAAAGTTTGCAAGTTTGTTTTCTGTGTTTATTTTATTTTATTTGTATTGTTGAAATTTTGCTATTTCCTTTTGAATAGATGGAAAGCTAATTAACGTTGCTGGCAAAATGAATAATGCAACTTGTACATCTTCAAATGATCATGCAAGCAATGTATTACTTAATTTCCATCGCGAAAATATAATGGATCCTTTCTGGGTGAATATAAATGATTGGGTTGCTAAATGTGATCCTGACCCATGTCATTTACAATGGATTAATATTACTTTCCAAAAACAATATGATATTGTAGAGATTTGCGTATATCAGAGAATTATTAAGGCAACCAACAGAATAAATAAACTTACTATTCGAATGGACAATCAAAATAAAACATATTTATTAAATGATATACAAACTTGCCTTTTATTGGATGAAGATTTTGGTTCAAAATCATCCAGTATCCGTCTTAGTCTTGCAGAGTCTAGGAGTGTAATACCGAATATAGGAATTGGTTATATTTCTGCTCTTGCTTACAACAATGGTTTGTTATTTTCTATATTTTTCTTTATTGAAAAATGTATAAACTAAATTGTACAAAAAAATAGATCAGGACTCATTGGAATATGAAGATTATGAAAATATTGCTCAACAGGAAATGGGAGCAACTTGTTCTAGTTCATCATCAATTCCACTGAACGAATGTAAAAATGCATTAGATTGGACATTTAATACATATTGGAAAGCTGATTGTCCATCTATCATTAACTGTGTTGGCCAATATATAAGTGTTACATTCACAAGAACAACAGAACCAGAAAAAATTTGTTTGGCAAATGTGTAATAAAAATTTTACAAAAAAATTGCAGCCTATATTACATGTTATTTCTTTTAACTCTGTTTCTCTTTTTCTTAAATTCTACAGAAAAGATAATTATTTAAAAATACTGGAAATACAATGGTCTTCACAATATACTGAAAATATAACTTTACCTAATAATGGATTTCGACATTATTTCAATTATGCTAATTATCCGACTATTGAAAGTGGATTTACATTAACTATAAAAGATTATCATATTGGAAATAATCTTGGACTTGCTACTATTCAAGTTTTTGCTAAAAGTAAAAAAAATATTCAATAAGTTTTTTTGTTTTTCATTTATTTTTTTTCTAGAAAATTTTAGCCAAATGTATTCAATTCAAGCAGAAGATTATGTCATCTATTACATTCCAAGAAAATATCAAAATAATTTTAGAGCAATAACATTTAAAGTTAAAGGTCAAAAACACCAAAACTTGAATAATTGTTCATCACTTATCATCAGTTTTAAAAATGAGTCATCAATACAATTCTCAATGCAGATTGATATGGGCAATAATGTGGAAAATCTAGTAATTGCATTTCGGAGTGAAAGCTTGTCTATAAACAAGTTCAAATTGCCAAAATCATTGATTGCATGTGAAAAATGGAATGAATTTTGGTTGGAAATTTTGAATGGCAAAATATATTTTGGTTCTGGAAATGTCTATGGAAGAAATACTTTGGCTATTGTAAAAGCCGATAATATACTAAATAATTTCACTCAAATCATGCTAAAAAATAATGGAAATGATGTTGTCAATCATTTTCAAATTTTGGATTTAGGTTTGAGAAATATAATTTTTAAACTTTTTTCTGATTTTTCTTACTTTAGATGGAAAGAAGATAACTACATCAAATTTGGAAAATTGCCAAAAAAACTACAGTGTCATTGATAAATTTTTAAACACTTGTAATAAATTTAAAAAAACAACAACTGTTATTAATCTAAGCTTTTTAAATAATGGAATTGTAAATGAAAATTTTTTTTTAAAAATTATCATTAAAAAAAATAAGAAAACTGTTGGAAATGCAACAATTAATTTTCTTCATCCTATTAAACAAAATGGTGGAAAATCTGAGTTTTTTCAGATGTGCCCATTAAAAAGTATCATTAATAATAATTTATTTCAAATTTATACATTTCAATGTCCAATTATGAATCACGCCATCCAATTGGAAGATTATTTTCCAATATATATTTTTATCAATTCAAAAGATATAAATATGATTTCATTATGTGAAATAATTTAAATATTTGAAAAAAAATTTAACAAACAGAGAATTATAAATAAAAATTCATGAATATTATAAGAAATAATGATTTGTTGAAAACACATGTAATCATATCTAATACTGTTTACAGAGTGTAGATCAATGACATGTCAGTATATTGAAGTCACCATATTAAAAAGGTCTTCAAAATTAGTAGATATGTGTCTCTATTTTAATCATAAGCTTTTCACATCATTTCTCTTTTCAACAAAAATTGTTTCTGCTATATTTTTAGTCTTTGGAGGAATATTTTCAAAATTTTAGTCAATGATCTCTTGATAGATGCTTGTATCTTTTTTAACTTGTTCGAAGTGACGTAAATGCATAATTTCTGAGAATCAACTTTTCATAGGTTATTTGCCCATTTGTAAGAAGATTTAACATTTACACTTTTTCCCATTTCAAGTTCTCCTTGTATTATAATCTTTTTAAATCCTTTGTAAAATATTTCATAGAAATTTTCACATTTAAATTCTGTTTCCTATAATTCTGTATCAATTGTATCAGTGTTCTCTGTAAAATTGATGAATTTTCTAAAGATCTCTTTTTTCTCCATGACACTGATTTTGTAATATGTTTTTCTCCTTATTATTTAATTTTCCAAGTGATACTAGTTTTGTTGTCAATCCTTTATAGGTTGCTTGAGTTTTAAGTTTTTCTTCTATATTCCTCTTGTAGTAAGTAAGGCATAACTTTTTCTTAATGTTGAGTTTATATAAATTCATGTTTTGTAAACAATTTTAGGGAAGAGACACATGAGCTATCCAAGTTTTTAGATTTAAGTAGTTTTGTTTAGGATATGACGTGTATATAAACAGTGTTGACCTAGTTTTGAGCAATGTTGTGCAAGTTGAATGAATGACTATTATTTTACTATTCTATAAGTGATTATAGGTATTTACCACTTAAGTTTTAGCTATTCATTTTTTTGTCAATCTCTATGTAGTTAATTAATAATTAAAGCGCAACAATAAAAAACAGAATGATGAATTTTCTGAAAAATTCGCTTAAAAGAAATAAAAGAAAATATTTACCTCTTTCATTCAGATGTCTTTTTTTTCTTGTCATGGAAAGTTGCTTTAAGTATTTACCAACATTCCACAAATTATCTGTCTTAATGTCTTCACCACCAAAAAAGGTTAAGACAGGTAAGTCTGCAGATAAATTGATGGCATGTGTGTTTTGGGACAGGGAAGGGCTTATTCACCTAGAATTTTTAAATTCACAAGTCAGAATAAATTCAGAGATTTACATCAGCATTTTAAAGAGATTAAAGCAAAGAATCAATTGAATTAGGCCAGGTAAAGAGGTGATTTTATTACAAGATAATGCCAGATCTCATACAAGCTTACAAACTACTCAATATCTTAGAACAACTGGATGGGTAGTCTTGCCTCATCCAGCCTACAGCCCAGACCTGGCGCCATCAGACTATTATTTGTTCTGGAAGTTAAAGGACCATCTTTGTGGTGAAATATATGAGAATGATGAGGAATTAAAAAATGCAGTAAGGGCATTTTTCAGGTCCAAATCGCCCTTATACTTCGCCCAAGGAATTGATTTGCTTCCCGCCAGGTGGCAAACATGCATTGACAATAATGGGGAATTCGAAGTTATATAGACATACCGAAGACATTAGTTAATATTTATGACTATACATATTATGTAAGTTTTTTTTTTAGCTGTAAGACACAAATGGTTAAAACTTTCAGGGTGATCCTAATATTTAATGATTGTGCAAGTCCTTGAAACAATATCTCTAAACCATATCCCATTCCTGTATTACCTATCAAACTAATGATATACATTTTATACTGTTCTTGATGGCCAATTTATGTGTTTGCAAATTACAACAGTACTGGTTCTACTCGGACTTTTAAACAAAATGTTTAATTTAAAAGGTTTATTTCAAATATAATACTTAAGATCGTCACAATAGAAAAGTTGAATAGCAGAGTAGATAGTTTGTAATAGCAGATTTCCAAGTCACCAAACTAGTATCCAATGCTGAAGGAGCAGAAGGCTTGTCCTGGTAGGGTTGTTTCCAGTTGATCTTTCCAGTTTAAGGTAAGATAGATGGAATGAAACAGTGTGGATTTATACTTGTAGGTTTGTCTCCAATATCCAATCATCACTTTATAGTTGGTGGTCTAGTTTATATTTAACCTTAGACAAACTCATCAATCACAGCTTATATTTGAGTAGTTTCTCAATAAATTTCCAATCCTTCCTCAATCTTCTATATTCAAATCACATTTCTTGAAGGAGATTACATTACTTGATCTACTAGTGATAGAGTACAATGAATAGTCTTTAGTGCTTCTTGAGTTTGTCCGTTTCAATTAAGTGAACTGCAATTGATATTTATCCTTTATACACATTAACTCTTTCTCTTTCATAACTAGAATTTTTTTTTGTTACACAGTAATTTTTATTTGCCTTTTCGTCATCTTTTCCCAAAACTTTCAATCTTTCTCTCTCCTTTTCAAGTTTTGACTTTCAAGACTGTACACATACATTCATCAGAGAGTCTGATAAATAATGGATTTAAAGTAATTTTTGAAAATGTTAGATTTGCCATGGAATCAAAATATGGATATTGGATTTAAAATAATTTGTGAAGGACTCAAGGCTTTGTCAAAGATCAAGCTGCACTCTTAGGTGAATCTGAAGAAATGTTCAGGATTTGTCGATTTAGATTTATCATGGAATGGAGAAAATATCAAAAATGGATTTAAAATGATTTTTTCAAGGACTCAAATTGTCATCAAACACTTTACAAAAACTCAAAGTAGAAAGTTGTAAGGCAGACTGACTATCATTTTGAACATAACATGCACATTAAGTGGCTAATATCAGAAGGGGTTCTCAAACAGCAGATAATTATATTTGGAAAATTATTTTCCTTTATAAATAAAAAAGGAGTATTTTTTTCAAATTTAATTAATTAATACAAAACAGCAAGTTATATTTATAAAAAATAAATTTCTGCATTGTTCATTGAAAATAAATGAAAGAAAGCAATGTCATATCTTCTACTATTCAGAAAAGTTTACATTATGGATTTTTTTAAAACTTTTGTTGACTGTGATGATTGTTAGATATATTTGATGGAAAGCTAGATGAACATAGCTTATCTATGTTCAACTGCCAATCATAAAAATGATTAGTATTACAGACTAAAGCAGGAAATTATTAACTTTTTACAACAGGCCACCAAATTGGCCAACTACCCAAAGGGAGTACATTTAGTGCTGCATTGGGCCATTTGCATCAAAAATGCAGACTATTGGTATAGCTGTAAGAAGGCTAGTGATAAAAAATTCCTTGAAAAGGTATCGCAAGTTGAGATTGCAAAAATATTTTAAGAGGAGTCATACAAAAATAAGGAAAAAAACATTTACAGTTTTGCGCTCATGCCAACAGCCCTGAGCTAAACATTATCAAAAGCTTATTGCCCTACCTAAAAAATCATATGCGAGCAAGCATGATTTGTGGTATAATATCAAATATTAAGAATGTAAAAACATGCTATTTTGTTCATAAAAGATAAATTTTCAAAATGTAAAAATAAAATCTTTTTATGTCTGTAATAGAAAATTATTCTCAAAGATTTATCACCTTTTTCTTATAGGTAATTGGCCAACATACCAACAACAAAGTCAACAAAAATGTAACTTTTACAAAAAAACTACATGGGTGCATGG